GTGAATCACACTTTGCGAATAGCAAATCTGGATTAACAAGAAAAAGAAAAACAATTTCAATTTGGGTGTTGAAAAAAGAGATAGATCAGATATATTCACTATAATTATTGAAACGGAAATACGAATTCGCATCTAAGCCCCACAACACATACCAATTGTGTATTGATAATTACGAGAAATGTTTTTAATGCATGCTGAGATGTGCATGTGGGGCACTAATGTGAACTCGGAAAAATAAAGGATCGGCCAATCCCAGTTCTCACCTACAAGCTATTTTTGACAGGACGATTACTTGTGACATCCCAACTTGTTATGTTATATTATTATATAAAAATCTTCTTTCTTTCTTTCTTTTTCTAATTACTTTAAAATTAGGTCGTGCCTAGTTAAGAAAAATGGGATATTCCCTTTCAACTCCCTTTGTGGACCAATATACCATTTACATTCACATGGCTAATTCACCCTGGGATTTGTGAGTCCACATGGCAGAAATGCCATAGCCTAAAAAAATTATCATAAGTTAAATATTAGTTAATTTAGTAAATACCTTCCATATCCATAGTTTTGCAGATTTACTAAAGCCTATAATTTGTGTGTTCTACTAAAATACTCCATTATGGGTGCAAAATTGATAAATTTAATTGACCTTCTGTTAAGAATTGTTTGTATTGCTGGTTTAGACATGGACACATGACCACTCAAATTATGGTTTTTGAACAGCCATTGACCTAGATGATCGGACCGTTCGGCCTTAGGCAATTAGTTCTGTTTTACCCTAAATTCGATTTTTGACTAAAAACTATCGAATCAGTTAATGATCCGTTGACCCTGGCGATCGAACTGCTGACCCATTCAACAATTTTTGGTCATTTTTATTTTTAATTATTTTTTAAATTTTTTATCAGAATGGGCCGTCCGTTCGAACAGAACGGTCAAACCGTTGACCTAGAAACTGATGACCAAAATGGTTCCATTTCCGATTCCTTTTTTAAAACCATAACTCAAGCAGAGTGGAAAAATGTTCAGGGTTCATGGTTGTTTATTCCAAAAGTACACCTAGCAATTTACATCAAACTTTTAGAAAGAAACATTGTTTGATCGCTAGATATACAAAACAATGTTTGGTTTCAACACACACAAAAAAAAAAAGAACAGTTATTTTAATATACAACAGCATATATACCTTCTTCAAGCAGAGAACAAAACTGTAAGAATGGATGATTTTCTCAAGACCAAGAACAAAATTTTCATATTTATTTTCTTTTTATTAAATTTGTTGAATGGATGTTATAGCCAATGTGTGCTTTTCACTTCTCCAGAATAGTCAAAGCATCAACAATTGCATATTCTTTTATATTCTTTTAAGGAAACATGTTATCTAAGGCAGGTTGTATTTGTATCTTGATGTCTATGATCTTTAAACAAAGAATAAAAAATTTACATGATTGATGATACTCTGAATGTTGGACTTTTTGCCATGAGTCAAGGGCTGTTTGAATTGGCTATGTCATCCCTCCATGATATTCGCATTTTTAATAGTTGATATAGTACAAACAAAAATAAAATGTAATACGCAGAAAAAGGGGGGAAAAAGACAAAAAGGATTCTAAACAGCAGAAATATTCATTTGTAGGGAACCATTTTTTCCTATTATTTTGTTGTTAATGGTGAATGGTGATGTTGCCACTTTTTCATGTTGTCTTGTTAGAAAGAAATAATAAAAAAAACATTACAGTACAATTATTCTTGCTATTCTAACATTGAATTAAGTCAACATATAGCTGTAGAATCTAAATTATAGGAACCTTCGGAAATTGGTTTGTTTTATTATAAACAATAATGGTTTAAGTATATGGTTATACTCAAATAGATAAGAACTAATTTATGGCAAAGAAATGTTGACTTCAATACCTAGCTAGGGACGGGAAGTGTGATGGAAGGGGTACAGTTGGCCAGAGGAGTTGGAGTTGAAAACTTAAATTGTTTGATCTTTGATGTACATTAATTTCTATTGTCTTAACTAGTATTTTGAAGTGGTTGAACTGAAAAGCTTAATGTTTTTTAGTGAATAAATTTTTTAAGGAGATTGTGAACGAAGCTGAAGTTTCGTAGATTTCTTTATTTTTGATTATTTTATTATTTAATATTTTTATTTATTAAAAGACAAAGCAATAATTTTTTTTTTTCCATTCAATTATTATCAAATAGCCCCTTAGATCACATTCATAGAAGGAGCATCACTGTATATATCATTCAACAACCATTTGGTAAAAGTTGGTGCTGGTCTCTGATTTTCTCAACAATTAGAGATGGTATGTATTTTCACAAGGTTTTAAAAACCGGATGGACAGGGAATCGTTATGGGTCTGGTTCCTGGGTTGAATGATCCAATCATCTGGTCCAAGTGGATGGCCCGTTTTAACAGAATAAATTAAAAAAATTACAAAAAGCAAAAAATGATAAAAAAAAATTATCTGAATCAATGGTTCAACTGCCCGGATCAATGATTTACTGACCAAATCAACGATTTTTGTCCAAAAAGCAATTTTGAAGTAAAACAGAATGACCGATTCCTCATTTTTCCATTTCAACCGTCTGTTCTCATCCGGTTTTAAAAACCATGATTGTTCATAACCAGCTTGAGGGTCCTTCATTCGCTCAAAAGGTTCACCCTCCATTTTCAAGGGTAAAGCTCATTAGGACCATCAAACCGAAATTTGGAGCTTGAATCTGTAAAAGCTTTTCAAAAGCAGTGGAGGAAGTGATCCTGTGGTTTTCATTAGATCGAAGGGCAGTGGTTAGAAATCGAAGATCTACAGCTTGATTAGCTATTTAATGGGCTTCTCTGGGGACGGCCTCTACAAACTTTGATCTATGACTTGCAACTTAGGCTATGTTTGGAAGGAATATAAATATAAATTTGTAGAATACAAAATCTTGTATTTTGTATTATTTTGTATGCATTTATACTGTATATATTTGAATCTGTACTCCTTCCTAACTGTGTTAAACTCATTAGTTGAAGTTGAGAGCTATATAAATGCATAATCGGAGAACACATTTGTGCATACCGGAGAAGGAGACGGGAAAGATAGTGGCTTAGAAGTGGAGATAGGGAGGGTGGAGATAAAGAGGTTGAGGTAGAGGCCCATGGGTACTAGGGGTACAAGTCGGGCAGATTGGGCCAGGCCTGGTCAAACCCAATTTTTCCAATCCAAGTCCAGTCCATACTGTAATTTGATGAATTCAGGTTGGGCTCAGGCTCGAATTGGGTTTAGGTTGGTCATTGAACCCATTCTAAAATTATATATATATATATATATAAATAGGTAAATGTATATACAAATGTCTCTCTCTCTATATATATACATATGCATACAAAATTAATATATATACATATGTGTATAGTTGAACTGGATTTGAAAACCTAAGGGCTAGGCCCAGGTCCGGCCCAAAAAATAAAAAAACCCAATTTCTTGGGCTTAAACCCAGCCTGAGGACCAAAAATTCATTCAAACCCATCCTATATAAAATTCCGGACTACGCTGGTTTAGACTCAGGTTAGGCCCGCCCAAATTGCACCCCTAATGGTGGGTTGATGCATGGGCAACTTAGGAGGCATGTTGCTCTTAATTACAGGGATCATTTGATTTCTATGGAGGAAAATTCTCTTCTGATTATATCGTGTCCTAAAAAGAAAAATGAAGTATCATGGAAATTGAAGATTATTATTATTGAGGAATGTTGGAGATCTTGCGAGCAACAGGAATGCGGATTGGACGTATCATCCTATCCTTTATGATGCTAATCAGGTGGCGGACTAGGCAGTTTGGTAAACTCTATCATCTCCAGATTCTTATCTTTCTTTCTGATTTTTCCTTTATGCTAAGTTTACAAAGAGTATGAAAATATATAATTATATAATATAAATACATGTATAATAATACAAAATACAAGACTTTGGAGATCGGCTTCCGCCAGAGCAAATTAGTAGTATAACGTTTCAATCGCCTTTTACAACCTTCCATTGAAAATATCTCTTCATGAAATAAAGTATTTAAGCAATGAAATTTTCTTAATGCATGGTTCTAAAGACTGTTTGAACGTAGGAGTATCCATTAGACTGGATTTGGTCCAACCCAATCTAGCCAATGTGAGTCCATTATAAATGGATCAGGTCCAATCTAGTCCAGTGAATAATTTGGACCATTTTAGATCAGTCCAATTCAATGTTTGGATCATCTAATTTGTTTAAATTCATTTTAATTTAAATTGATTTCAACTCAAGCTCGGTCCATTAACACCTATATTCTTATATTATATCAATGGACCAGATATTGGCTTAATCCAATCAAATCCAATTACGGACCAGGTCCAGTCCAATATAATAAATATTTTAGACTGAATTGGTCTAATCCATTATATCTTTTTGGTCCATCTAATCCGTTCAATTTGATTTTGGATTGAACGGGGTCCAATCCAAAACCGGTCCATTGACACCCTTATTTGAACGGGCTTTGCCCTGAGCCGAATTCAAGGCTTTCCATTCTATATATTTGTTTTTATACTTTTTTTCAAACTGATCCTTATCGTAATTTGTCTGAGTGATTTATGGGGCGGAGCTATCCTCCTCTTATGTTGCTCCTCCTAATTTTATGAAAAAAATGAGGATTAAGAGAAATTTGCAAATAAATAAGGTTGCGTTTGATTTGAAAGAAAAAATAGAGAAAGAAAAGAAAAAGTTGTAGGTTTTCCTACATTTTCTTTCAAACCAAGCACAGCAAGGCTTAATAAATGATTAGTAAATTTGAACAGATTTGAGATTTCCCTACCTTTTTCCTTAACCAAATACAGCATAAGGGACCTCGTTAAAGGACAAAATAACAGTAACGCTGAGTCGCTGATGCTCTCCTCCAAAGCCGAAACTTTAAAGTTAGAAACAAACGACTGTCGTCTTTCGTTTGGACTCGTATTTTTCTGTTTTTCTTTTTTTTTTTTTTTGTCCAATTTTTGGGTCTCTGACTCGTTCCGAATCTTCTCCATAGAGAGAGAATCATTCCCTTCCCAAAGCCAAAGGCCATTTTTCATCCCTTCCTCCCCCCTCTCTGACCAACCTACCCACCCCACAGAATCAGGAAAATCGGTAGAAATGGCGAGTTTTGGCGATCGAAATCCCCCAGTCCCCGAAGAAACTCCTTCTGCATCAACATCGTTTACCTTTTCTGATTTTCCTGAAGATGTTCAGCTCTGTATTCTCTCTTTCCTGACGCCTTCTGAGATCGCTTCTTTTGCCTGCACTTCGAAGCGTTTCGTTTCGCTCTGTCGAAGCGACAGCAAGCTATGGTTCTCTTTGTGCGATAGGAGATGGGGCTCCAATACCAACATCAGAAAATGGGGAAATGGGCAGATCGGATTCATGCTCCTCTACAAAACCCTTATCCGATGGGAGAATTTGATTGGTTTCTGGCGCCAAATCGGTCAGACCAACCTCAGTGTTTCGGCGCCTCCGCTGGTTTTCTTCGAATGGGGTCCCTATTTCATCACCGGTTCAAGGGTGTCGCCTTGGAAGTCGGGCACTTATCGAGTTATGAAGACGCCCTTTTTATGGATGGGTCTCTCTTCGAAGGGTGAATCCATTAATTTTCTCGACTCAGATTGCCGGTTCGTGTCATCGGGGGATTTCGCCAAGGCAGCTGAAATGGGGGATTCGGATGCAGAATTGGTTTCAGTGAATATTAATTTCATGGGTAAGAGCCATTTTGTTGTAGAGGAAAACCAAAACTCTTCTGCTTCTTGTTCACCTGAAGTGAGAAAAAATGGTTACCGGAGGAGCTCTAGCTCCAGTAATTTGCGGGGAGACGATACGGGAGCTATGGAGGATGTAATTGGTGTAGAAAGCACGTCGCCTGGAAGCCTCCCGGACCATTTTGCATCGGAGATTTACCAGTACTTTGCCAACCGGACTAGCCCTAGTGGGGATAAGGCTAGAAGACAGCGGAAGAAGGAGAGGGAGAGACTCGGGAGGCGGAAATGGGAATCCGAGCATTTTGTGAAGGTGGTTAACTGTGCGCCCACGCCGTCCCGTCCTTTGCAAGGCCTCTGGAAGGTGTTTTCCCAATCCCTCTCCCTATTTTTTCGCCATTATTTTTTTATTTTTTCGTTTCTTCGATGTTTGTCTCTTTTGTCATTTTGTTTGACCCACTTCTTTTCACGATCTTCTGAGACCTGCCACCGTTGAGTGAACAAATGATAATAAGGAAGTATATAAGAAAAAAGAAAGAAGCATTAGAATTTTCAGATCCTCTGGAATAGTTGATTTGGGGACAAATCAAATAGGTTGGTTCTTCAATTGGAAAACATGCAGATGATATTTTTCTGCTATTCTTCATATAAAATCATTGTGCTCCTGCCCAATATGTTAATTTGAAATCGATTCTCCAGATGAATTCCTCTCAAATTCAATATGCACAACATTCTCCTTCCTCACCCAACAAAAAAAGTCCTGATATATGGTATCCATAAAATTGTGTGCACTAAATGTAGCAAGAGGATGTATTAGTGAAGTCCATCAGTTACCATTGTTGGGGAAAAACAATTCTACTCAAATTTCTCTAGTAGGTTAGAATGGTAGCCCACCATCCCAAGATGTTACTAAAGCAATCAATACAACTGAACAAAACCTTATCCCAAACTTTTTTTTGGCTGTTTCATCAAGGTCCACAATTCCACTCTCTCTAAACAACAATTTCGGTTTTGTGTTCTATGGGGTCAACAAATGTTTCACGCCAACTGCCAGTCTGACATACCCCTTCTTTATCTGGGTCCTCATCTGGGCTTGGGACCTGCAATGCAAGAGAAGTTTAACAAGGGTCATAAGTGGGTGCCCATAGAACTGCTTGCCTAATTTAATCCTCCTTTTGACCATCTAGGCAATTTTTATTGTTGTCGACAACATAGTTGCTAGCTCACAATTCAAAACTATGTTGTCGACAAAATCACCCAAATGTCCTAAGGAATTTGTCTAGAAGATTGTTTGATTGATGGCCCCCATGTATGCCACACATCAGTGCAAACTAAAGGCGTGAACATCACCATATATTAATCATCTTTTTTGTCATTCCTCTTTTTAATGTTTTCCTTTCCTTGGTGTTGGTGGTGGGGGCTTAGGTAGGATGGGGCAAGGTGAGTATACGAGGATTCTTGAAAATGGTTCCTTTGATGAACTAAGTTTCTCTTGCTTCCTCCTTCAGGGTATCTGTGATGGTATGAGGTTGGATTTTTATCTTGTGACTTATGATGATATTGGGGGCGTTGTTTGCCGAAGGATTGTAGATGCATCAGAACCATTCTCTGGTTATTCCCCAGTTTTCTGGACATCAAACACTACATTTATTGAGTCCCCCTTCTCTGCTGAAGAAGAACATTTGTATGATAGTCGGGTACATCTGCATCAACTCGCTGCAGCCAATCATATTCATGAGCACCTGCCTACCATAGAAAATGAGGTTGTCTCACGCATTCTTTACATAAATTCAAGTTACGATCTGGTGATTCCTGACTTCACAGGGTCTACTGATTCCCGGCATGTGGAGGGCAGGATTTGGCAGTATGAAAATGGAACATTTGGTTTTGGGTTCCTAAGGAACAATTTTATCATAGACTTAAAGCACATTGCTTTAAATGGTTGTCTGCTTGATACTATGGAGAATTTATAATTGATTTCTTTAATCTGAGATTAATTTTGTACACATATGTTAGCCAGGCATTTAACTAGGTTCTATTGGGTTCATACTGGCATTGTATGGTATATATATATCTTGAAAATAAATTAGTTATGGAAACAAATTACCATTTTTTAGACTTGTGTATAATCCAGTCCGGATCTCTTACACTTCATGCCTTGTAGAAATGCGTATACTGTCCAATGAAAATTTATCAAAATTCAGGGGGAGGGGGTCTGATTGGTCCATGTTCTTCGAGTATCATATGGCTGGCAACTCAACTTTTCTCATGTTTTCTGAAGATTCTTCCATTTATGTTCACTAGTGTTAAAATTACAAAAGCAAATCCCTCCCCCAAGAAAAAAAGAAGGAAAAGTACGAAGTTGAAGTGCCAAAGTATCACTATTCTTCTTCTTTGGGATCAGTAACCCGAGTGTCACAATGTTATGAAAGCAGGAATTTGGAATCCTACATAATAACCTCTAGGCTGTGTTTGGTTTGACAGAAAATAAGAGAAACAGAAGGTTGATGGAGAGTCCTAAACAAAATTTGTGAAATTCCTTGAAGAACTTTCCTTCAACTCTGTTTCTCTCTTAAAACTAAACACAGGATGGTAATTCTTGCTACTCTATTCCATTTTTCTTTTTTTAATTTACTTATGATGATGTGGGACTTTTCAAAACATGCATAATTTAACAATTGGTATGGTATTAAACAGAATGAAATAGCAAAACAGGATTCGGATATGGTATTAAACTGAATGAAATGTTGAAACACGACTCATGTAGCCAACCCCATATAGTTGGGATAAGGCTTGGATGATGATGATCGATAACCTATAGATTCTATACAATAAATAGTTGGGTATCAAGGTTATGGAATCAACCATCCTATCACACTATCAAACAAATTTACTTCGACATTTTTCTTCTACATTGCAGATCAAAAAGACCCAAGTTTTACTGATATGTCCTTAGATGTCTTGAGTTTACGCTCTTAGAATTAATCCTTTCGATTATCGATCAAAAACTTTTCATCATTTTTCCAGATATGGCTTTAGATGTTTATTGGCTAAATTCTAAATACCATTATTTTCAGAATGGATGGAGGAACGGACAATAAACAAAACCTTTTGAAATCACTCGAATTTATTCAAGTTCAATAGAAACCTGGTAAGAATCAACTTTTCTTTTTTTTCCATACAGAAAATGGGCCAGACACATCTCAGTTGAGCTTCCACAAGGACAAAAGACAGTTTTTAATTGGAAATATTAATATGCCATCTTATAAGTAGAGCAACTGATTGGACTATGGAAATAAAGGGGAAACCTGTATGAGACTCAAGCAACATCAAAAGAGGGAGAAACAAAATAAGAGAGTTGATAGAAAATCTTCCAACAGATTATGATTCAGCTGCAACTTCCACGGTATTGACTGTCTCCTTCGCTGGCTCCTTCTCATTGTCACCTTCAAGTTGGCTGTAATTGCCTTTCTCCTTGAAGAGTTGAGTGTGATGGTGCCTGCAGTAGAGTTTACCCTCATGTGCAATATAGTTGGATGGGCTGATAACACAACCTCCATGGGTACACTTGAAACAGATTTTATGGTATGCATTTCCATCCACCGTTACCTGCAACAAAGACCCACTGTACCCTTAAATGTTTGTCATTTCAGTATGAATCGGAAATATGTAATGGGATTTCAGGTGCATCATATTACATGGAAAAAGCGTTAATGTGGATGGAGGTAAAAGGACTGCCATCTTTACCTTTTCAAGGGGATACACAGTCTTCTTACAGCAGATACATTTATCTCTGGTGCCCCCAAACATATTTGAGACTTTGTTGGTGGTTGCATTCTGTTCAGGCCAAAGCATTTGCAAAATTAGTAGTGGAAAGTGGAAACAAATCAAGAATTATATGTAGTCAACTAAAGCATTTCCTTAAGAACTTCCCTTGGAGTAATTTCTACAGGTAGATGAAATCTATCTATGCTAACATCTTTTGAACTGGAAAACATTCTACGGATGTCCTAAATGTATATGGCATCATATAATTTATCCATCTGTTTGCTGGAAAAACCGATAGGCATGCACCTAGAGAGCAAGCAATTTACCTCACTTTCAGGCTTCTCTGGTTTTGCAATTTTTGGTGTCCCTGAGAGAACATTGAAAAAGTAGGTTTGAGTTACAGGAAATTAGAATATGAGGGTAATAAGCAGCGGTTCCTGTTGATCCTGTGACGTGTTACCTTCAAAACTCTTATCCAGGCTGCCGGTTCTCTTGAAAAGTTGATCAAAATGTGGCCTACAATACAAAACTCCTTCGAAGGAATTATAGTTGCTAAGCTGCATTAAGAACAAACAGTGAGTAATTTGGCACCACCTACCTCCCAACCTACAAATTCAAAAACATGGTGCAAGTAGAGACCCCCTCATTTTGATAGGCACTGGATTTGTTTTTCCTTTTGGCTCCATTTGAAAAGAGTACAAATGAGTGTAAAATCTTATATTTTGTATGATTTTTTATGTATTTGTACTGTATATATTTGCATTTATACTCTTTCCAAATTGAGCCTTTTTGATGAATAGCACTGAAAAATTTATATTTAATAGATCCAAGATCAAGAATGGAATCCATTCATTGGCCGTGCTCATAAGCCTCATTTTCCTTGGTATTAGAGATGTATATAAAGGGTGCATCAAGTCATCAACAACATTCCACAAGGAATTGACCTCATCAGACCACTGTTATCCCTTATTAGCTGAAGCTCCCCTACTGAGTTTGAAAACATGAAGATGAGTGGCAATAACTGAATACAGCCAGCTTTGAGCAGTAAACCAGGAAAATTGGTGATGAACTAGTGTTGAGCCTTTTAGTATCCAGACAACTAAAAGGATAAAAAGGAAAAAAATCTCATAATTCCGGTACTAACAGGTCTGCATAGAGGTGTAAAGTGGGCTGTGCCGGCCCCGTGGGTGGTCTGCACTTTGTGCGGGCCATCACGGGCCGTGCCGCCCTCCTCGGTGAAAATTTTGGGGGCCAGCCCAGCACGGCGCATGGCCTGGGCCCATGTGGGCCCGGGCCGGGCTGGTTTGTGGGCCGAGCTTTGGGCCAGGTTAGGCCATGTATCGGGTCAAAGCTATTTATTTAAAAAATTAACAAAAAAACTTAAAATGTTAATTTTATATAAATTTTGTGTATAAAATTGCTTATATATGCAATAATTAAATAAATTAATATAATAAAAATTTAAAAATATTTATTTTATTAATATATTATATACTATGTTATTATATATATAATATATATAAAACATATATATGGGCCAAGCTACGGGCTGGGCCGTGCCAGCCCGTAGACATAAAATCCTAGGCCCAACACGGCCAACATGGTCGTACCGGGTCTGGCACGGCCTGCAGACCATCGTGCCGGGCCGGTCTAAGTTCGTACCAGGCCATGCTGGGCCGCGGGCGACACGGCCCAATTTACATCTTTAGGTCTGCAGAAATAAAAAGACATGCTGATAATTATTTAATCTTTGTAGATGGCTCTTTTATATCAAGTCGATACATTGTGGTAGGCTTTGTTATCTTGTCTCCTAATTATAATTTTATTTCAGAAATAGGGAAGCAGTGTACATTTCAAGGCCCAAAGCAAGCAGGGGAGTGGGCCATACTGAGTGCGTTGAAGTGGGTTTTAGCTTTATGGTTTCAGACGAGCTCGAATACTCTCAGATTCAGCTAATCTTCTTTTTCTGTTTATCACTAAAAGTATGAAGAGTAGATAGATGGAGCAAACCTTGATCCAAGAATTAGAATATCACATGAACTTCTTTGATGGCTGTATTTTTTCCTATATAAAACTAGAACGTTATGTGCTAGCTCTTATGTGGATTGTAATTTCACCGTTTCCCTACAGCTGGCTATGGGAACAATACTTCTGTGGCCAAAAATCTCGTCAAGCTATTGAATGAAACTTTTCAAGTCCAGACGATACGCTAGATACCATAGAAACCCATGTCAGAAAGGTAACATTACGCTTTAGATAACCAAATGTGGAAAGAATCAGGCAAATGGTCAGAAAAGAGAACTGGGTAAACTATTGAAGAAGCACAAAAGTTTGAAACAGTGCATTTAACTGAAAGAATTTGGACACAAGTCCCACCTACACATTCGACCATTCGAGTACCAGAAACAATACACGTAGTAATGTGGCGAAGAAATTTATCAAGCAAATGGTGGTCGAATAACCTCACTGGAGGGAGTAAACTAAACAAAGAGACACGGATAATGCTGGAACCGAAACCAAGGAAAGGAAAGCTGAGAAAGAGTGTACGTACCTTGAGGGTTCCCTTGCAGTGATGGCATCGGAAGCAGGACTTATGGTAGATACGGTTATCAGCAGTGAGCTGATCGACCAGATACACAGTCTTGGCGCAGGCCATGCATTTCTGGGTTGTTCCAGCGAAGGCCATGGCTTCCAATCCTTCACAGAAAGCAAGAACAATCAAATTTCCAGAACCAGGCCTCCTCCTCACTTTGCTCTTCCTCCTTTCTCTCTTCCTCAGCTCTCCGATGAAACAACAAAATAAAAGAGAGAACCAAGGGAAGAGAAAAAGGCAGAGAAAAATGTGGGTTCCAGAAAGTTGCGGGCAGCCAAAGCAAAATTATACATCATAAACAAAAGGGTTGCCATTTCACAATCATTTCGATCGAATTTAAACCACCCCACTCCATCGTTGTTATTGTCTGCTATTCTCTTTTTTCAGATTTCTCCTGGATTTTTCTAATAAAAAGACATCCCTCCCAACATAAACAACAGTGACAAAGAGAGACAGAGCGAGAGAGAGAGATGGCAACTACCTTTACCTTGGTTAAGTTCCCTATACTATACAACGCATCGCACCTTGTTTAAATGTTTTTAGTTGTCCCCACACGGTGGATCATCGAGTTAAAACCCCCATCAAGATTGATTCTCTTAAAATGTTTAAATCCTAACGGGGAGATGGAGAACAGACATCTACTACAAGAAGCCTACTTGTACCGCGAAGTAGTTTTTTAAAACCAGATTTGATCCAACAAGGAAGAAAATGAATAAAAGAAAGATGGAATGGGAAGAGTTTATCGATGGAGCTGATACGCGGATGATCCAAAACGGATTTCTTTCATTCCGCTTTCCAGACATGGAGGGGGGCCTGGATCTCAAATTGCCATCATTTCATCATCAGACGCCTAGCTGGCGTGGTGTCACTCTCCATGACTCCATGATTAAGCATGGGCTTTTCGCCCCCAGTCCAGTACAAAGAAGAAAGAAGCCATGGATCCGAAGCTGAGTGACAGCCTAGTAGTAGTACCATCCGATCGATTCTTAGGTTTTACTGCAGAGGCCAACCCATCTGGACCTCGTGCTTTTTCTGACTTGAATTCTCACCATAAGAATCCAGCTGCAGCTCTAAATGATGGTCGTGTAGGTGGAAAGGTCTGATCTGCATTAGCATCACCGATTCTTATTCAAATTACACTTGGTAAATTATCACCCGGTAGACGTGGGGGTGTGGCCCATCTCCAGTATGGGATGATGTTGGGTTGTCCTTGTGGGCCTTAAAGTCTACTATCAATCACCCACCTTGAGGTTGAGGCCTACTCAATAATGACTACGCATGCACCACAGGCACAGACAGAACCAACTCGGGTGCATAATAATCATCTTGGGTGGATTGGGCTGGGCCAAATACTAGTACAATTGCGCCCAGTATGTTCAACGTAGTCCAAGCCCATCCCGAGGCCTAATTCTTGGGCTGCATGCCTGTATCAAATTATATGGACCTTCCCGATTAGCCCGATGCCTTGCTAAAACTGCAAGATGGGTTTATTAAATTAACTCAACAGTCCAAGCTCAATCAGGGTCTAATTCTTGGGCTGCTTCATTTTCTTCAGACCTTGTTATGCTTTGATATCCACCTGAATTTGACTGTCCAAGCCCAAATCTTGGGCTAAGTCTTCGGACTAGGTGAGTTCAATACAGAAACTCCGCTCCTCTAGTTTTTGAGTTGCTCGGCAACATGTAGTGACCCAGAATAAGCACTCACAAGTTCCAAAATGTGATAGTTGTCCACACACAGAAATCCTACAGGAAATGCTGGAAATATCAAGGATAATCATCCTCTTCCCTGATTCCAGCATGCGTATTCTAAAGAGTAAAGACTATCTATTTTGTTTGTTTGGGTTTTAAGTTTTAATATCCAAGAAATAGATTAGAAGCAGAGTCCACACCTCACTGAAGGATCAAAGTCCAAAAAGTTAGGTTTGGATGGACCCCAGACAAAAGACTGGAAAGTAGAAATTTAGGAAAGAAGGTCAAGAAGATCCAACAACAATGTCTAAATTAATAACAACTTGGGTTGCAAAGAATTGCAGGTGGAAGCAGGCCCACAGACACGGCCCTACAAGTCTACAACTAAAACTAATAGATACCATCCACTTCAAACAAACTAGCCTTTCGGAACAGTTCAATGGGACTTCAATCTTTCCTTTCCCTCTCTTCGATATTTGATATGAGATTCAACATAGATCAATACTCTTCACGCATTTTAACCATGTACCAATATCATTACGTACAATGTGTATGGTACCAGAAAGATTTGTGTTCCTCAAAAGACAAACATATTTCTAAATATATTTTCATATTGCACTCTTTTCAACTGGGCATTTGGTCTAGTGGTATGATTCTCGCTTTGGGTGCGAGAGGTCCCGAGTTCGATTCTCGGAATGCCCCTAATTCTATACCTAAGTATTATAAATTCTATTTCATTATACTTTTTTGGGTGAAGAAAATATTCATTAAAAGCACAATTGGATTTTGTTACATAGAGGCGTGGATTTTGCAGCCCACAGAGACCACATGGACATCGTCTACTGGGCTGAGTATCTAAAGGCTTTAATTCCAGACCCAGATTCTTTTTCACATGGCTTCGTTGTCAAGAACATGTTCAATGAACACAGATCCAACATCGAGATCGGTACCTTCATCTTTTATATATATATATATATATATATTTTCCGAAACCTGATAATGGCAAGCCTTGGTGGTGGAGTCAGCCTTGCGGGGTGATCTCATTTTGAGCAACTGCAACAACTCAACAAGAATGAAAGAAAGCCCAAGCCCAAGCCCGATTTCCTCTGCGTCCATGTTTTGGTTGAATTATAAATTATAGTGATGAGAATAATCGATGAAGGTAACCAAACAGTTGGGTATTTGGTCTAGTGGTATGATTCTCGCTTCGGGTGCGAGAGGTCCCGAGTTCGATTCTCGGAATGCCCCATTATTCTAATTATTATTTATATGATTTTTTCATTTTTTGCTAATGACTTTTGCCTTTAGACTCAGTTTGGGAAGAGTGTAAATACAAACTGAGCCTTCGTATTTTTTCACTTCAATACCGACAAGGTTTTTTTTTAATTCTATGGCACTAGAAAATCATATTTAATCAGAACCCATGGATTATAATGAATTCCAGCCAATTGTTTAATACTTTTATGATACTGCTTGATTGGTTTTCAATTTTTTAGGCTCAGTTTGAAAAGAGTACAAATGTAAATATATACAATACATATACACGTTATATATTTGCATTTGTACATTTTTTAAACTAAGCCAAAGTAATACAAGATTTTCCACTCTCCATATTTGTATTTGTACTCCTTCCAAACTGAGCCTTAGGTACCATACCTTTTCGGTAGCAATCGTCACTCGTCAGATCAATTTAGTTGTCTTAACATTAGAATTGGTTGACGAGAAAAGAAAAACTAAGCTTACAATCCAACTTAGTTTTATGGCTTTATTTACTTTTTTCTTTTTTTTTTTTGATTTGGAAAGAGTATTTAATCCCCAGTCAACTTACCAACTGGATTGTTCAGAACATAGAATTGGATCCAAAGTTAATTGTTTAGTAAGAATGTAAGGTTCTTCCTCAAGTACAAATAGTTGGTTCGGATGAGGAGAAAAAACAGAACTAAACTGACAATGCAATTGGGTAAGCTGAGTTCACATGAGGAAAAGTCCAATAATGGGTGTCAAGCTCAATGAAGAACAGAGCTACAAACTTTCTGTAATTTATTGAATTCTCCACTAGTAAGTAGTAATGAGGCCATTTGGAAATTGTAGTTCTACCCTCAAAGCAAAACTTATGGCTTTAATTCCCCCAGCCAACTTGCTAACCGGAACAAGGGGAAAATCCAAACTTAATTGTTTAGACAGACTCTTGGTCAGGGACATATTGGATTGGTTCAAAAGAGAGAGACAGAACTGACAATCCAGCTACATAAAGATCAACAGATTCAATTTTCAAATGACCAATAAATGAGTTCACATGGGAAAAGTGTTCGACCGAAAAAATAAGTAATCATATCAGAGCTGTAAATGATATCAGTTTGATTCGATTTTTAGTTAAAATTGATCCATTTTATATTGGATTGAATATGGATGTACCTCGATTCCATTCAATTCAATTCAAATATATATGATTATATCACATTTGTTAGTAAAATTGGTTTGGAACCGTGTTTTTAGTAGTCATAGGTTGGAGTTTCATATATATTATTTTTAATTCATTTTGTTCGTGATTTACAATATCGAACTTATTTTAATTCATTTGATTATTATATAATATTTTTATCATATTTAGTTTAATTTATTAATCCGGTTTAGAATCTAATTGCAGTCCAGATATGATATTTAAAAATTAAAATCCAAGAGATAAAATTCACTTTGAAGCCAAATGTAAATTGATCAAATTTGTATATAGGTAGGTATATTAAATTTAATCTAGACCATTATCAAATCAACAAGCCAAGTCAAATTAAAAACTTACTAATAATGAGAGCAAGTGTAACAGGGCATTTGGTCTAGTGGTATGATTCTCGCTTTGGGTGCGAGAGGTCCCGAGTTCGATTCTCGGAATGCCCCAAGTAGGGTTGAGCATGGGCCAATTCAGTTTGGTTCCCAATGCATTACTTGAAACCTAGCTACCTTATATTGGTTGGTTCTATGTTTTTCGAACTAGAACTTACCCTGTCAAGATCCGTGCTAAGCCTTGGTGGTTTCAAAGTTGGTTCTAGGTAGGGGTGTCAATTGGATCATATTTGGTCCAATCCAATCCGGTCCAATATGATTCCATTACAAATGAATTACGTCCAATTCAATCTGATGAATACTTTGGGTCATTTTGGACCGGTCCAATTCAATGTTTGGACAATCCAATCCGTTCAAATTGGTTTTAATTTAGACTGATTCCAACCCAAACCTAGTCCATTGACACTTGTATTCTTATCTTCTATCAATACACCAAATATTAATCCAATCTAACCCAATTCAATAAAAATCCATTACAAATGGACCAGGTCCAATCCAATCTAATAAATATTTTGAAGTTTGGATGGTCAAGTCTGGACTAGTCCAATTCAATATATTTTATTGGTCCCAATTCATCCAAATTGATTTTGATTTGGATAGAGTCCAACCCAATATGGTCAATTGACACACCTAATTCTAGAGTCTACATGTTCTTTAATAATAATAATAATATCACAATCATTAAATGTGTTAAACTTGATTTTCAATAATGATATATATAATTCAAAATTTGTTATGATTTAAATAAATCTATGATGCTTGGGCCTTAACCAACCAAAAACCTTTATGAATTTTGAAAAGTCTCTCACCTGATTGATTATTGCTTTCATGACAAACACTAAATTGAAGAAAAATGATCAAACCACTTAAGTGGCTCAATGGTTAACTAAGACCATTTTCTTTGTAACCATGAGTACTTGGGTTCAATTTTTTACATCCTTAAAATATCTTGGGATTTATTTTAAAGCAAGTTTGGTTCTAAGGCCAGTTCCACCTAGACCAACCAAGGCATGTTTCCTAGTTGGTTCAGGTAGGGTAAACCCCTATGCATAGGGGTGATCAAGAAGTACTGAATTGAATCAACGAGACCAAACCAAAATTTTCAATTAATCGAACCAATTGATTCAGTTTCGATTGTATTTTCAAAAAACTGAAGGTACATGTTCGGTTTCGGTTAACCAATATCAAAAGTCGGCAATTAACCAAACCAATCAATCTATATATATTATATTATCTATATATTATAATTTATA